TGCTGACCAATCAGCACTCAGTAGCAGTAATGCTAACCAATTAGTGCTCAGTAGCAGTAATGCTAACCAATCAGCGCTCAGTAGCAGTAATGCTAACCAATCAGCGCTCAGTAGCAGTAATGTTAACCAATCAGCTCTCAGTAGCAGTAATGCTAACCAATTAGCGCTCAATAGCAGTAACGCTAACCAATCAGCGCTCAGTAGCAGTAACGCTAACCAATCAGCGCTCAGTAGCAGTAATGCTAACCAATCAGCGCTCAGTAGCAGTAATGTTAACCAATCAGCTCTCAGTAGCAGTAATGCTAACCAATTAGCGCTCAATAGCAGTAACGCTAACCAATCAGCGCTCAGTAGCAGTAACGCTAACCAATCAGCGCTCAGTAGCAGTAATGCTAACCAATCAGCTCTCAGTAGCAGTAACGCTAACCAATCAGCGCTCAGTAGCAGTAATGCTAACCAGTCAGCTCTCAGTAGCAGTAACGCTAACCAGTCAGCGCTCAGTAGCAGTAATGCTAACCAATCAGCTCTCAGTAGCAGTAACGCTAACCAATCAGTGCTCAGTAGCAGTAACGCTAACCAGTCAGCGCTCAGTAGCAGTAATGCTAACCAATCAGCTCTCAGTAGCAGCAAACTCAGTCTAAAATGTTCTAACTACAGCTAGCTCTGTGTTCTCCCTGAGCAGTAAGTAACACTTTGGTGCTCACTGTTAGGAGCTGATTGCTAATTCTGTAATGCTCACTCTTAACATACCTCTTTCTGCCTGCACTGCTCACTAACAGTGACAGGCTACCCAGACAGCAGACACTCCTGGGCCGATTCCGGCTTTGTTCTGATTAGATGTCAGGCGTTCGGGCCCGATGCTGTTCAGTTGCCTACAGTTTTGCGTCGTGTCTATCTTTGTGGGCCAATCCTGTCATTAATGTTGTGGACAGACAATGTAGCTGGGCCAGATTCATTAGTTCTGCCCACTTTACAGTGTGTGGGCCAGATCCGGGACGGGGACCCAGACATACTGGGCCAGAACAAACCTGAGGCTGTTTGTGACCCAGACAAATTTTGCTAATTGCTAGCTATAATTAATAAAGGTGACATGCACAATTAGCCTGACTGTCTTTGTTATGGGGGCCCCTGGTGGCAGAGGCCTTGAAATGCAGCCCTAATAAAGCCTTAAGATGCAATACTGCCAGTAAATTCAACAGCAGCCGTGACTCATTGGTCATTAATCTGAATTCTGATAATCAGATCCATCAGCCAGACTGGGGACACACTTTCTGTTTGCTGGAGCTGACAGCGATCTGTAAAAGGCCTTTACAAAATAGTCCCCAAAGAAAACTTATTATTTCAGATTTTCCACTAGGAGCATGTTTACCCCTGAGTTACATCGCCTTTCCTTTAACAGCTCTTAACAATCATTTAGAGACTGCAAAAATATTGATTTCCCCTTTAATGTTTCTGTGTAAGGTAATAAGCATTTTATTTCATGTTAGTGATCTGGTCACTGCAGTTTGATTAATCTCTTGATAAATCAATGCTGCCCTCTGCTGCTGACATGTGGTGGTGACATTTGCAGAATTATTCAGTCATATAATAAAGAAGCAGCAGCTCTTTTTCTGGCTCTGTTCAGTTAGTAAATATAAATAAATAAATAAATAAATAAATGACCCAACAAAACTACAGCTGTGCTCACAGAAAAGCTGCTGGTATAATCTTGCATTAAAAGTTCAAAAGTTTTCATGCAATATAAGCTTATTTAACATATATCGCTGCTGTCTGAGCAAAACTTCATATCTCCAAAGTGGTAACTTTACAGGAGAAGGAAAAACATACTGCACTTTTAACGTAAGTCAATGGAGCCAGATGTCTTTTCCAAGTCATTTTGCCTGAAGCTTTGAAAATATTTTATTCGTTTCTTATCATGTTATCACTTACACGTTGGTTGCTAAACACAATGAGATAACAACATTCACAAAGCACATTTTGTGCCACAGTACCAGTTTTGTTCATGCACCACAGCTGTAATTTCAGTCAGATATAAACAGACATTACACAATGTTTTCAACTGAAACTCCACTGTATAAAACTAAATCTGTTTAGATTCATCTTTTATACAGTGGAGTTTCAGTTGAAAACATTCTGTAATTTTTGTTTATGCATCTGAGGATTGAAATTCTAAATGACTGATCAACAACAGTATTTATTTAAATATGTTTTTAAATATGTTTGGATTACATGTCCAAAAGTCTCTGGACAGTCCTTCTACTGAGTGAATTCAGTGACTCACCCAATGCTGGTACAGCTTTAATCTCCCTAGAAAATCTCTGACCAACTGAATGAGACGCTCTGGAGCAGCTGCACATGATCCTAAGGTCTCCATGCCCAATGCCAAGATTGGGCACCCTGTAGATGTGAAGTCAGAGACGATAGCTCATCTGCTGCTGCACAGTTTGTGTTGGTCATCCTCTAGTCCTTCATCAGTGGTCACAGGACGCTGCCCACAGGACGCTGTCGGCTGGATATTTTTGGTTGGTGGACTATTCTCAGTCCAGCAGCGACACTGAGGTGTTTAAAAACTCCAGCAGCACTGCTGTGTCTGATCCACTCAGTCAGTGTTACTACAGTGCTGAGAATGACCCACCACCCAAATAGTACCTGCTCTGTGAGGGTCCATGGGGGTCCTGACCACTGAAGAACAGGGTAAAAGGGGGCTAACAAAGTATCAGAGAAACAGATGGACTACAGTCTGTAACTGTAGAACTACAGAGTGAAACTATACGGTCAGTGGAGCATAAAATGGACAATGAGTGTATATTAATGTTCATATCAATGTTTTTTCCATATATATTAGTGTCCGTGAATAAAATTATAGAATTCTAAGTAACTATGCATAAATCATTGTGTGCATAACAATATATATCTATGCCAGTGTCTATCACCATGACCACAGACTGCTTTATGACTTTTATTTTCTTTACAATAGCATTTAATAAACTTTTATTCCATTTCATTTATTCATTTTTGCACATAAAGCAGTCTGAGGCAGATTTGGGCTTCTAAGCAGGATGAGGCCTGGTTTGTGTAGGGAGACTTGATTCACTGAGTCATGTGGAGGCTGAAATGCTTCTTTAGCGGTGTGAATAAGCTTTTTGAAAATATCCTCCTGTCAACCAAAGTGAAATTCCCTCTGTTCAGCCAGCTTCCTCCAAAAAAACCTCGATTTTTCGTCCAGCAGTCTTTTTTTCCTGAGCGAGTTCAGATATACCGTCGCTAGGGGGCGCCAAAGTTCAGTTTGTGGAGGCCACCGCATTGTGATGGAAAGTTTGATTCCCTTCACCGAACCGATTCTCTTAAACTGCACGTTCCGATGAACCGAGCGTCTAGACGAGTGCTGAGTCAATTGATTCAGAAGTGAGTGACGTCTCAGCTGCTGCGTTTAGGAGTTCAGCGAGTCTGATTTCGCTCATTATTACTAAAACACTCATATTTTTAAGTCACCGTGAGGTGTTTTAGTAGTTTTTAGCTGTGAAATATTAATATTATGAGTCTTCGACCTATAAAGAGACCCAAATATGGCAACAGTGGGTACAAAATATAATTATGTCAACAAGTCTTGTTGGAACCGCAGGCGCCGGAATGTAAAACTGCTGCACCATTTAACAAGAAGCCAACCTATTCTTCTATACAGTGAAGTTTAAATAATAAAAAAAAACTTTTATGCATCTAAAGATTGATATTAAGCTGTGCTGCATGAACAAAACTGGTATTTGAACGCAAAATGTGCTTCACACGTCAGTCTCTCATTACGTTTAGCCGCCAGTGTGTATGTGATAACATCCCTGATGAAAAACCCATAGAAACCATCACGTGTTTGTGTTGGTTGCTGAAGGTTTTGGCTTTTTTGATGGGTTGATATCACAGTGTAAAGATCCTAATGGTTTATCAGGTGACCAATAACTGATTCTAAATACATCTGATGGCTTTCTAATGGGTTCTAAAGGTGTTTTACGGGAAAATGATGGCCACTATTGGAAATCATTGAGCCAATTCCCATTGGAAAGCAAAATTATTAGGTTTTAATCATAATAGTATTTAATATTTTCCATGCCTAAGGCCAAAAATGTGCACATATATATCCAAAAATCCACCTGTATCTGCAGAAACACACGTTTGTAAGTGTGTACACTAAATATAGTCTATATATACATATGATTTTTTTTTCAAAATTCTCCCATGATTCTGATGTAAACAGAGTCATTCAGAGTGTTTTGGTGTGAACTGCTTCACTACATTTACTTAGCAAGCTTACGTTGCATGAAAGCTCCAGCCTTATCCAAACGACTCATTCGAATCGGTTCGTGAGTCGGTTCGCACGAAGCGGTTTCGGAGCTGGAGGGAGTCCCCCAGCTTCTCTGAAGCAAAAGCAGATCTGCTGCAGACATCAGCTGTCCCGAGCGTCCAGTCTGCCTCAGCACCTCGCCTGCCCGCTATGCCCTTGGACACTGCTGCCCCTCCTCCTGAGAAAGCGCTGCTGGAGAACCCAGGAGAACATTAAAGCCCTAAAGCTGGAGCAGACCTGCAGGGGAAGAAGAAGGACGGAGGGGTTGTTTGTTTTGACTGAAGACTTTTAGAAACCGTAACTTCTTCTGCTCCTTCATCTCTGGGCGCCTATGAGCTGACGCGAGCTCACAGTGCAGGACTCCTTAAGGTTCCTAAGGTTCTTGAAGGCTCTGCCGGTGGACCGTTTCTGCTTCTCGCTTAGGCTGTGACGACTGAGGAGCTTTTTCCCCCCGCATTTACGCTTTTGCACCTCCTAAAAAACCCACTTGCATGGATGTATCATGGCCACGTTTGTATGCAGGGTGCAGTTCTTAGATGATACTGATCCATTCAACAGCACCAATTTTCCGGAGCCCACCAGACCACCTCTGTTCACCTTCAGAGAGGATATCCCGCTCATAAACCAGATAGCAGGGGTGCACAGACTTCTCAAGGCTCCACAAAAGGTATGGTGGTATTAACTTCATTGCTCCCCAGTGGAGAACCCAAACAACAAAGTGTGGGATTGTGTTTTTTGTTCTCAAAGTTCTCAAAGCTTGACTGTTGTGGTGCTGTAGACTTGCTTAGAGCCAGCTGATGTATGCATTTCTGACCTCGGCTGACGCCTTGCTGCAGTGTTGCACCATTCTATAGCAGCTACTAGATGTTCCTCAGAGGTTCTAGAGCTACACTATGCAGTCTAATAACAGGATGCAGAAGTTGTTCAGTGTAACAAACAAAGTTCTGCCCCATTAAAGGATGTGTAGCCTTGCCCATTGCAGTTTAAACATGTTTACAAGCCGTTTGCATGCAAGAAACACATCAAAATAACCCAAAGGAATTGGTGCTCTGGAGGCCTGCAGCTCTAGAAGTCTCCTGCAGAAACCTTTCCAGAGCGCTGTCTGACTGCAGCCTAATTGTAGTCCATTTACAGCACATAAACAAAGCATTATTCCCCGAGCTGGTTTTAGGAGTGGTGCTGTTGTGGTACTGTGGAATGTCCGGCAGCTGAGGACCATGCCTGGGTGGTAGAAGTGAGCTCAGGAATCTGCAGCTGTCATCGGCACTGCTGATGTCCACTCTGATGAGCCTAGCTCTCCTCTAGAAGATCGGGTCTCCTCAGGTGACCGACGTGTCCACAGCTTTGAAGGCCAAATCATTTCACACCAATTCTTTGGCCCTAAGAAGCTTCTCCTTTGGTCATAACAGACCTTAAAAGAGCCACGTGGCTCGTCACAACATTGGAATGGGAAGTTCTTCTGGAATGAGGAGATCCACCTGCTCTAGAGGAGACACTTTCCCAGGGGCTCGTCATCATGGCGTTACGTTTATATCATCATGCAAATGCAGCGTTCTAAGTAATATTCAAATCTAGTCTAGCTTGATCTTTCTAGAAGACTTGTTTCGCAGATAACTGTGGTGGAACAGAGATTTGCATTTTTCTGCTGGTGATCCAGCCTGGAACCAGCTTTCCAGCGGAAACCTAGTGCTTCAGCAGCTCATGTGTTATTCTTAGAGGCTACACCACCACTCTGAAAAGGTTCTACAATGCTCTGACTGGTGAATCTCTGAGTGATGCCAGCAGAGAAGTACTTTTAGAGCCATTTTTGTGAGTGAAAAGAGTTTTATTTATTAGGTTTAAGGGTTCTTCCTAGAACCTTTACATCATGAGTGGAAGTTCTGCTTTAAAAAGGTTCATTTACAAACATGGTTCTCCAAAGAAGCATCCATTCAAAGGTTTTTTAGGGAACCAAAAGTAGTCCTTTTATGGCATTGCATTGCACAAGGGAGCTTTATTTTTAAGTGCACTATAATTAATAATCAATAATAAAAGTTTTCTCTGCTTTCTGCTTCTGAGATCCATGTGGAAAACATTACACTGTATGCAGATACGTCTTCTTTGTAAGCTAGTTTTTGTATTGATGCTGTTGATAATTGGCCGATATCAGAGTCTGAAGTCTGGACTGTCAAACCGATTTGCAGCTCAGCACTTACAGAGTGTAATTGACGTTAGGCTGCACTTGACACGTTCACATTTTGGCATTTTTCTACGTGGTATTGTGTGTTGACATGTTACTGGGTGATTTTGGTGTAAATTTAGATAAATTACTATCTTGACAGTTGACTTGACAGCTGCCCCAGGTGGCTGATAAGGTGATGCTAGGCTGTCAGTGCTGCCCCAGGTGGCTACTAAGGTGATGCTAGGCTGTCAGTGTTGTCCCGGGTGGCTAATAAGGTGATGCTAGGCTGTCAAAGCTGTCCTAGATGGCTACTAAGGTGTTGCTAGGCTGCTGATGCGGTCACAGGTGGCTGCTAAGGTGATGCTACGCTGTCAGTGCTGCCCCAGGTGGCTACTAAGGTGATGCTAGGCTGCTGATGCTGCCCCAGGTGGCTAATAAGGTGATGGTAGGCTGTCAAAGCTGTCCTAGATGGCTGCTAAGGTGTTGCTAGGCTGCTGATGCTGCCCCAGGTGGCTACTAAGGTGTTGCTAGGCTGCTGATGCTGCCCCAGGTGGCTGCTAAGGTGTTGCTAGGCTGCTGATGCTGCCCCAGGTGGCTGCTAAGGTGTTGCCAGGCTGCTGATGCTGCCCCAGGTGGCTGCTAAGGTGTTGTTAGGCTGCTGATGCTGCCCCAGGTGGCTGCTAATTGTCATATCATGATACATAGAGACTTTTGACAGAGACAAATTGAATTTCGTGATGAGTATTGAGTGTCGTGAAAAGGTCTTTATGCATTGTGATCTGGTATTTTTGCCGTATCGCTCACCACTACATGTAATCCAGCAAGAGTTTAGTGAAAATAGTGCAGGCCTTGTCACATTATTGGTTTACCAATACATCTTTAGTGTATTATGTCTCAATATATTGGAATATAAGCACATTATTAGCATTTTATCCGTATCATGCAGCCAGTCAGTTATAATCATTTTAGTAAACAGCCATTCTCTGAGAAAAGAGCCTCACTGCGTTGCTCAGGGTGACTGGTATGTTTTGATCATCTGCACAGAGTGTATTACTCACTCTGGAATGTGTGGTCTGCCTCTGAATGGACACCACCGTGTCACCTTGTATTTGTTGCCGTGTCATGATTGTGATGATGTCATCCCAAACAGTGTGTGCGTCTCCTGCCATTGGATTCAATGAACGTGGTAGCTGTATTTCTCTTGCATGAGGCTTGATGCAGTCATTTTATCACTACCTCACTGTGGCCTCCTGCTTCATTTCTTGTCTGTTCACCACTTTCAAATGGCTTTAAGAGGAATTCCTATCAGTGCATATATGCGTATATGTGGTCTAACAGTGGAGGAGCTAGAGCAGTGTTTGATTATGGGCCTTTGCATACTCCACATAGCTGATATGTTTATATTTTCCACATGTATGCCAAGCACCTGTGTTCATTTATCTCCAGCGCTGCAGAGAGAGGGAATGTTTTGGTCTGCTGGGGCTCCGCGTTTCTGCCGAGGCTTCTGCGGGACCTTCCAGAGCCCGTCGTGTTCTCTGTGTGGTTTGGAGAGTTCATAAGCCTCCGTAAGCCCTTCGTGACAACTGCAGAAACATTTATAGATGCTTATTTCATTCATTTGCCAACAATAAGTCAAGTTGAAGTCTTTACATTAGGTTGTTTTAAAGAATTCAGATTTAAAGAAGCAATATGTTAGATGCAAATTCATGACGTCAGTAGACCAATAGATTGGGATGCTTTGGAGCAGCCGCACATGATGCTAAGGTCACCATGCCCAGTGCCAGTTGTGGGCACTATTGATAATATTGCGGGTCTTTAATGTTGGTCGTTATTGTCAGTCAGTCAGGCCCAGCTTGGCATTGTCAAGCAGCGTTCTCTGGAGTGATGGCGCTCCATCCAGTTCCTTTGGGATGAGTTAGAGATCCAGAACTGACCATCCAACACCAGTACCTGACCTCACTAATGCTCAATCAAATCCTCACAGCAGTGTTCAACATCTAGAGAGGATAAGAGTGAAATAACGAATTAACCCAGTACGTATTTCACTCACTAGTATCAATACAATTTATAATACTGTACTGCAGCGTATCGTATCATTTCCGTCCACCAGCTTTTTGTGAATTTTGGACGAGGTGTAAAAGTTAGAATATTGCTAAAGCCGAAGCGTAAAAAGGGGGTTTTTGGAATAAACGATGACCTATCATGTCCCATGATTCCTTGATCTCTACAGATGGTCCGATTGCGGTGCAGAGCTTTTCGAGGTTTGTTTTAGACATTCTGAAACACTGATCAGAGCATTAAAAACACCTCTGCACATTGAGCTCCAGAACCGTCTGGTGTGTTCTCAGATGCGAGCTGGACGTCATCTGAGATTTCCGCCCTTGTTAGGTGGTCACTGCTCATCCTGGCCGGCGACTCTGAGCTGCAAACAACACGGCCAAAAAAGGTTGTAAAGATGATTCTACTTAAAGCAGAAACTGAGTTAAATCTCTCCATCTTGGTTGTTTTGATGCTGCTCCTAATCACGGTCGCCTACGTCATCTAACGTTTCTTCACACTGGAGTGAATAGAAACACAGCTTTTTGTTTCAGATGTTGTACTCATGTTGCATTTTTATGTTGGATGCTGTAATTAACTTAAATTTGAAACGTTAACATAAGGCACGTATTGAAAGTATCGTATCGGATCAGATTCTGAATTCTGTGTATCGTTACAGCCCTTCTTGCTTACTGCTTTTATAATCTGAGCCTGACCAGCTTAACAACAGCCCGATGTCACGCAGGGGAATGCAAAAAATAGGCCGTTCTCGTCTCGAGAGAAAACAACAACAAACGTGGCAACTGCAGATTGTTTTCAGATTGATGTGGTCAGCTGCTGCGCTGACGGGCAGATGCTAAACGCTCAGTTAGCGTGTGAGCTCATCTCTCCGGCCCGTCTGGACGCCGCAGTGTTTCCTCTGCGCTGCTGAGAGGGGTGAGCCGGGTCGCTCGCAGTGCTGACTGCTGCATTGCAGTGGCTCTGGGAAGCTGGTTAAGCATGTTTGTTGTTTTATTGCTGCGTGTGTATCTGTTGCTGGCTGTCAGTCAGGGGGGCTACTGTGGACCCTCTGGTGTTGTGGTCAGAGGGAACAGCAGGGGCTTAAGGAGACATCTAATGAGCTCTGTTTAACCTGATTTAAGTGGGCCGAGAAAAGAACAGATGGAACCCGGTGTTAAAGTACACGCTTAAAAAAGATGGTTCTTCAAGGGTTCTGTAGTAAAGACAGTGGATCCAAAGAACGATTTTCCTGATTAAAAGTTTCTTTGCATGGTGAAATGGTTCTTCTTCAGAAGATGGTTCATTATAGAATCTTTTTGAAAAGGGTTCTATATAGCACCAAAAAGGGTTCTTCTATTGTGACGATGTCAAGCTTGTAACAACAGACGCACCCTTTTAGGTGCTATATAGAGCCATTTTCGAAAAGGTTCTATACAGAACCATATACAACACATTCTCCATCAAGCTGA